GAAATATACACTGATACATTAATAGGTCCAAGGCCATGATGTATTTACTTTACCATCAAGTGGTTCAGACAAGAAATTAGATGTAGCTAGATAGCTACATACATTGACAAATAGTCTTAATGATAGAACAAATGGGGTAAAATGTTAAAAATAGGTGAATTTGAATAATTGTTATGTGGGGATTTTCATATTATTTTTATTTCCACAATTTGTAAATTTCAAGTTATTTCCAAATAAAAAGTTAAAAATATATCATTGATTTGGGTCATTTGTGTTTCCATTGGCAAAAGTTGGTTGCTTCTGAAGAACTCAGAGCAAATGAATCCCTGGACTTGGGAAATCCACCAGTACTTTTCAAATTATGATGACTTTGCAAATTAAAATTTGGAAGCAAGTTTGGGATTATGTTGAGAAGGAAAGGCAAAAGGCTAATTTTATTTCTGTTTAAGAGTTATTTGGTTGAAAGAAAAACAAACTCATGTTGGCCAAAAGGAAATGTATTTACAAGTAAGTAAGGTAAATTTCATGAAACCCAACTGTGGGAAGTACTACTGGTGTCATGGGAACTACAAAGATATCAGACGTTTCTCTGCCTCTGTCTCTGTGTCTTTCTTTCCTTCCCTCTCCTATTTAGCCAGTTCTGGTCAGAACTACAGGACAACCAGGTCGAAAAATCTGGCAACTTCTTCAGCAAAAGTGGCAAAAACATTTCCAAATAAGAGCACATGAGCTGTGCAGACACCTCATGTATTTAATTTTATGCTGAAATTAGAGAAGAACTGACCTAATATTTGACTAATAACTTAATTTTAATCTATAATTAATAATTTATCTTAAGGCCAATATAAGATTAAAAATATTAATGTGAGCAATGATATACTTAGATTCTCCTTTTATAAAGATCACATGGGCACAGAATGGAGAATGGATTTTAGAGAAACGAGAGTGAAGTGGGATATCATTTAGATGATGTTATCATTGGTCCAAGCAAAACATGGTGGCTTGGATGGGTATAAGAATAGCTGTGGAGATGGAGAGAAAAGGGTAGATAAGGAATATCTTTAGAGGTACAACTGACAAGTCTTTGTGTTGAGTTGAATGTGAATGTCTGAGGAAGAGGTTTTCAAAGATGTCTCCCAGGTTTCCGGTAGGAGTGAATGGTAGAGACATTATGGAGATTGAAAACATTAGGGGAGGAGTAATTTTGGGGGGAAAAAGTCATGAATTCAATATAGGCCTTCTCTTAGTTTCAGAAACTAGTAAGATACAAATAGAGTTATCAGGTTGCTAGATATATGGGTTCAGGGCCCCAAAGAAAGAGCTGGTGTAGAGAAAGAATCTTGAAAAAGATTGATAAGTGTATGGCATTTGAAGCCACGGAAATTTATGCAATAATTCGTAAGAAAGGAAACAGCCAAACCTTGAAGAACTCTAACATATAAGAAATAGATGGGAAAGAAAGATCTCCAACAAGGGACTGAAAAAAAAAATGGTTTTATATGTAGGTGGGAAATTAGTAGAGTCTAATTTTGTCAAATCCACTGGAGAAGGTGAAAAATAAGCTAGTAGTCAACTGTGTCTCCTAGTAGTGGAACCAGTAAAATGGGCAGGTGTCATGCTCACCCTCTTTTTGCAAATGAAACAACGGTTGAGACTCAGAGACCTTAAACGACCCACTCCAGATCATGGAGATACTAGGTAATGAGGCTGGGATTTGGATTCGTGTGTCTCTGACTTTAAAGCCTGTGCTTTTAAGCATTGCCTCATTCATTTCATCAAAGATTGATTTCATACTTACCATGCATAACGAAGCCGGAAGATAATGTAATGAATAAGATCTATATGATTTAGAGTCTGTACTCATTAAATGCAATTTGTTGCCAATTGAATGTTGTGATTCCTGGGAATGGGTGAAAGAGGCTGTATGAGTTTTCTATTGCTGCATACCAAATTACTGCAAACTCACCACATGAAACAACTTCCAATTATCATCTCTCAGTTATATAGAGGAAAAGGGTGGATGAGAGGGCCTGACTGGGTTCTATGCTTAGAGTTTCACAAGACTGAATTCAAGGCTGGCCTAGACTCTTCCCTGGAGACCTGGGGAAGAATCTATTTCCAGGTCCATTAAGGGTGTTGGCAGAATTCAGTCCCTCACTGCTGTAGGACAGAGGACCCCATTTCCTTACTTGCTTTCAGCTTTGGGCTTGTCTCAGCTCCTAGAGGCCCCTTGCAAGCTTTTTGCCATGGACTTTCTCCCAGACCCTCTCATCAGTTAAGCTTAACTTTTCAAGGCTGGTAGCAGGATCTCTCAAATAGAATCCTCCTGAAACTTAGAATCGTTTTGACTTCTCTTTTACTATTAGCGAGCAAAATCTCTCTACTTTTAAAGGGCTTGTGTGATTAATTCAGGCTCAACTGCATAATCTCCCTCTTGCCTTGTAACCACTCATCATATTCACATGTTCTACCCACATTCAAATGGCTGGGTATTGGATTATAGAAGGGTTAGGGTCATTGAGGGTCAATCTTAGAATTCTGTCTACCACAGAGGCATAAAGCCCTTGTTGCTTTCTTCTTCCCAAGCTCTCTGTTTTCCCATTTAAAAATTTCATAGTTTGAGAGAGAAGAATGTGTATAGGTGATTAGTCCATTGATTTGACAGCAATACAATCAGTACTCTACAAAAAAAAATTGCCTAGTATCGTTTCTCTGGGAACCAGCTTTCAAAGTGGGAAAAGCTAAGATGATTCTACAGCAGAGGGGATGTGCTTCATTTCCCCAAGATACCACAGCTGGGAAGCTCCGCTGCCTTTCTGGGAAGAAGGACTGCTCTGTTCTGCATGGAAGGCCACCCACAAGGGCACACATCCATGTGAGAATCTGAAGAAACAGTGCAACGCCATCAACATGGCATCAAATTCTACCACAGCTGCTTTGTTGCCTCTCCCAGAAAGATCAAGACAGACCACTGTCCAGAGAGAGAGAGATGATTAAGGGGATAATAATGCTCTGGGTATGAGCAACACCAGGGACTTACTGCTCAAACTCTCAGTGCGTTTTCAGCTTGCAGCTTTTTGAGTTGTACCAAGATGTCCTTTCTTTGGAAAAAGCAGAGAGAGAAAGAGAGAGAGAGAGACAGAGATATGAACAATGCATTTAAGAGGGCTGCCAGCCTCTGAGAATCTGGGGCCTGGACTCTTGGCTTTCAGCTGAAAAGCCTTCAAAAGGCCAGGGAAGCGTTAGTGAAAATGAATGGAAAGCCTCTGACAAGCATGCTATGAGCTGCGGAAATTGCAAACAGACTTGGCATGCTTGCTCAGGAACCCAACAGAATCTGAACATCACTTGGTGTTATAAGTCATGGGACAGCAGGCGCTTGTTTCACTGGAATGGGCTTTGACACTGAAAAAAAAAGAAAAAAGATCACCATCTGTCTTTTTCTTTGGGGGTGGGTAATTCAGTGCCCCAGGGAGGGACTTTGTTTTTGTGTCTGTCCTGCACCTCTTTTGTAGTACAGAAGAGTCATGCAGCAGAATCAGTAGCTGTCTTGAAGTACTGAACAATGGAGAGAAGCAGAAGTCTTTACATGAAGGGTGTTTGGATAAGAGGGCTTCAATACAGACAGGCGTGGGTTCAAACCTTTATTCTGTCATCTACAATCTGGGTGATCTTAAACATGTTGCTTTGTCTTTGTGATTCCCAATTAGCTTCCCTGTGTTCCAGTTTCTCATCAGTAAAATGGGTGGCGGGGGATGAAATAATGTCTATGAGCTATGAAAATAAACTGACATAGAGAAAGCATTCACTAAATAGTAGAATCTCAAATGTAGATAGTATCCCATCCTACATTCAAAGAACCTGTTGGCTGCCTACGCAGCACCTGTTCCTCCTATTTTCTTCATGGCTGGCAAAGCTTGTCTTCCAGTAAATATAACGAAAAGGCAAAACCACTTGTTTTTCTAGCTTCTCCTCTTACAGTCAGGATGTGGGCCTATTACCTGATTCTGGCCTGGATCTGCTACAACCACCTTGAAACTTTAAGGGATGACACGGTGGTCCGACGAACAAGGAAAAATGGAAAAAAGGAAAGCTTAATGTTCCATGACATTGAAGAACTGATGAATTAATCTTGGAACTTCCTTCCTGTATTAGTCAGGATTGTCTGAGATACGCCAAAGAGCTAAGCCCTGTATCTATGGTGACTTATAAGAGCAATGTTCATTTCTTGCATATACTATATGTACAGTGTGGACTGAATAGGGAATTTGTTCCATTTTTCCTCACTCTAGAGGCCAGGTAGATAGAAAAACTGCATCTTAAACAGTGTGAAGCATTGTTTCAGAGGAACAAAACCATCTCTAGAGGGTAACTCTTTATTTAATCTGCTGGGTGGACTGGCTTCTCCAAAATTCCACTTTCCACTCTTATTAGATAGTTGCTGCTGTAGCAATGCTTACTCACTCATAGGTCTGTGGGTCAGTAGCGGTCTTGGAGGGCTTACCTAGGATGGCTTACCTAGGATTGCTTACCTATGCTTGACTTCACATACTTATTGAATTCAAGTCTGCTCCCTGTAGTTCCTTATTTGGGGATCAGCTGTTACCTAGTATATGTTCTTCTCATGGCTAAGTAAAGACATGCAAACAAACCAATCCATGCACTCACATTAACATCCCTGCTGGTATTCATGGAGTTAACATTTCACTGGTCAAGTCCCGTGACCACTCCCGAAGTAAAAATGGCAGGCATAATTACGCTGTCTTCTCTCCTGGGAGGCTCTGATACTCTTGTGGAAAGTGATGTGGATATAAACTTTTTTTTTTGGTCAGCATTCAAAATCTTTTTAATAAGAGGGTAGGATCCAAGGTTAGTTTTTGTAGCCTCGGCTGGCCCGTCGGCCTCTGGCACGCTCGAACTTCCCGCCCTTGGAGCGGATGTAGGGTTTGGTGTGGCTGTGCGGGGTTCCTGGGGCCTCGGCTGGCCCGTCGGCCTCTGGCACGCTCGAACTTCCCGCCCTTGGAGCGGACGTAGGGTTTGGTGTGGCTGTGCGGGGTTCCTGGGGCCTCAGCTGGCCCGTCGGCCTCTGGCACGCTCGAACTTCCGGCCCTTGGAGCGGACGTAGGGTTTGGTGTGGCTGTGCGGGTTCCTGGGGCCTTGCCGAAATGCCGGTACACCTCTCGGCCCTTGTGAGGACCGGAGAGCAGGACAGTGCCGCAGCCCTTGGGGGAGTCCAGGGCCAGCTGGTCGAAAGTGAGGATCTTGCCCCCTGCTCTGAGATGCGGCTGCGGGCCCGGCTGGTTACGCGCAGTGCACATACCTTCAGTTTGGACACCTCCTGAATCCGCACGTCGTCCGTTACGGTCCCCACAACCACGGCCGTTTTGTTTTCCCGGCCAGGAAGCTTCATCTTCCGGATCATCCGGGAAAGGAACAGAGGCGGCCGGTTGGTGCGACTCATAAACAACCTCTTCAGCACAACCTGGTTGAATATGGAATTGGTTCTTCTGGCCAGAAACCTATACAACTTTACCAACAGCCTCAGGTAGATATCCTGGCTCTTGGGCTCCTTGCGCCGAACCTTTCGGTCCTTGTTGTGGCGGATGGCAACTCCCATGATGGCGCCTCCTGCTCGGCCAGGTCCGGAAAGGGAGAACCAAAATCAACTGGGGAGCTTTTACAGATTTCACTTCTGGGCCTTATGCCCGAGGAGTCTGATTTAATAGGACTTGAGGTGGGGCCCGGGAATCTGTATTTGCACAACACCCTAGCAGAGCTGTTCAAAGGCAAGAATACAGTCATAGGTTCTTAGTTTCTGTTTCTGATTGGGCCAGTAAAGCCCCTTCCTCATCCCTCTTTTCCACTTACCACCAGAGACAGGAACTAAAAACCATGGCTTCAGGCTGCTAAAAGCCTAAAACAAAACAAAACAGAACAACGACAACAACAATAACAACAAAATAAGGCAAGCTGGACAAGCTTGCAGAGATTTCCAGTTAAATCACTAATATATAAAATAATAATTTCATTTTACAGAAGAGAAAAATGAGGTCCAAAAACGTTAAGTGACTTAGCAGACATGTGACAAAAATGAGAAATGGATCCAGGTTTGATTTACATTCATTTTTAATAAATATATTATTTTTGTTACAAAGATAATACATCTTTATGCTAAAAAATTGAAATAGTACATAGAAATGCAGGGTGAAAAGTAACTTTCTCCATCTCTCAGCCTCCAATTTTTACCCAAAGAACTAATCACAAATTGTATTTTTTATCTTTTCAGACATTTTATATACAAAGGTAAAAAATGCACAGGCAGATGTAAATCATTTTTTACATAAATGAGATTATAGTGTGCCTAGTCTTTTTCTTTTCCTTTTCTTTTCTTTTTTTTTTTTTGGTTGAGACGGAGTCGCTCTCTGTCGCCAGGCTGGAGTGCAGTGGGGCAATCTCGGCTCGCTGCAACCTCCGTCTCCTGGGTTCAAGTGATTCTCTTGCCTCCAGAGTAGCTGGGACTACAGGCATGCGCCACTACACCCAGCTAATTTTTGTATTTTTAATAGAGATGGGGTTTCACCATGTTGACCAGGATGGTCTCCATCTCTTGATCTTGTGATCCTCCCCTCCTTGGCCTCCCAAAGTGCTGGGATTACAGGCGTGAGCTGCTGTGCCCAGCCCATAGTCTTATATAAAATTAAAATAATTTGTGTTTTTCCACTCAAAATCTTTTAAAATCAACATTTATAGATCTACTTCATTTCCAAAATAAATTTCTCTTTTTTAAGGTGTGAAAACATTAGATAAAGTGAGTATCTATTCTCTGACATTTTTCAAATATAGGCTGGCTATCAGATATAGGTTTACTTATATTTGTTGCTCGTCCAGGTTTCCTTGCCAAATTTTTTAAGACTTTCAATTTTGAACAAATTTTGTAGTCTCTTTCAATTTGGGTTTGTCTGATGTTTTCTCCTGTTTGGACTGAAGTTATTCACTTTTGGCAAAATATTACGCAAATGATACTGCGTTCTAAGCATGAATTAATAAGAGGTTCATGATGTTGACTTGTCTCGTTGCTGGTGATGTTGACCTTGATCACTTGGTTAAGGTAATATATGCTGGGTATACCGGTTGTAAAGTTACCATCTCACCTTTTTGGTGTTAATAAATACCTTTGAAGGAGGCACTATGAGACTATGTAAATCCTGTTATCCTAAAATTTTTGCTCACCAAATTTAGCATTCGTTGGTCTTGGCACATTTTTAGCAGGAGTCACCTTCAAGGTGAAATATATTCAAATAACCCATTTGCTAGATTGTATTTAATATACTTTATTTTACAGTTTTTAGTGCCACAATATGCTAGGTTTTATGGATTTTTTTTTTCTTTGAACAGAGAAATTTTACAGAAACAAGTATTAAAAAAAATTAGGCTGGGTGCGGTGGCTCATGCCTGTAATCCCAGAACTTTAGGAGGCTAAGGCAGGTAGATCACGAGGTCAGGAGATCGAGACCATCCTGGCTAACAAGGTGAAACCCAGTCTTTACTAAAAATACAAAAATTAGCTGGGCATGGTGGCGCATGCCTGTAATCCCAGCTACTCAGGAGGTTGAGGCAGGAGAATCACTCGAACTGGGGAGTTGGAGGTTGCAGTGAGCCGAGATTGCGCCACTGCATTCCAGCCTGGCAATAGAGTGAGACTCTGTCTCAAAAAAACAAAACAAAACAAACAAACTATATATATATATAATATAGAACATGACAACTAACATGTATTTAGTGCTTTCTATAGGTACTATGTTAAATACTATACATTATTATTGCATTTAATAATCATATTAATCTTGTTAATTATTATTGTAAATCCATAAAATAGGTGAAGAATTTGAGACACAAAAAAGAAAACTCCCCCAAAGTACACTGCTACAGCATTGCACAACACAGATTGGAACCTGACTCCTTTTACCCCAGAACTTCATTGCATCGATAGTACTCAATTCTGTCTTTGTGTATAGCTAGTGAGAATTAGTGTGACAGATTCTCATAGAAATAACAGTTTGAAATGGATTTTAGCAGCATATTACATTACTACAGCATAACAAGTATGATCATAAAAGTAACTTTCCTTCAGATTCTTAGGTAATCCTTTTCAATTATCTTGTAAAGATGGTTTTAGTCTAGTTAATGCTGTGGCAAAATATTTCCGCCATTTAGCATTGATCATCTTATAAAATACTCATGCACTTCGATGATGACATATGTCAGAGCAAAAGTCCCCAACCATTTAGTGTTCATCACAGCCTGCTAGATTGGCCTCAGTTGACTCACCTGTAAGATTCCTCTCATGGGAAATAGGAAAGAACTCTGAGGAGGACTCTTCCATTATCCCAAAAGAGAAAATGTAGGATTCCTAGGAAGATATGTGAGTTAGTATAAAATTTTTCTATAAATGAAAGATAATTTGGCTTTAAGAAGAAAAGAGCTTATTTCTCCCATATAAATAATGCTTGGGGGTGAGTGGGTTAGGATGATATGGCTGCTTTGCTCCATGGAATATTCAGATGTAGGTTCCTTCCAGATCTCTCCTCCCTTGTCCCAAGCCTTTGTCTTCATGTTCCAGAATATCAGTGTCTGTGTGCCAGTCAGCAGACTGGAAAAGAAGACAGCAAGGGGTTCATTCATATCAACCATTGTTAGGGCAGCGTCCTACTTTTTTTTTTTTTTTTTTAATAGCAAACCGCTTTATTAAGATGCTTATTGAGCTTTATTGAGTTTGAGTTTAATTGATAAATAAAGAACTTCACATATTTAATGTGTACAATTTACTGAGTTGGACCACATAGCATCACCACAATCAAAGTGACATAATCTGACTCTGTGTCCCCACCCAAATCTCATCTCATTGTAATCCCCATAATCCCTACATGTTGAGGGAAGGACCTGGTGGGAGATGATTGGATCTTGGGGGCAGTTTCCCCCACGCTGTTCTCATGATAGTGAGTGAGTTCTCACGAGATCTGATGGTTTTGTAAGTGCTTAACAGTTTCTCCTTCACACATGCTCTCTCTCTCCTGCTGCCATGTAAGATGTACTTGCTTCCCCTTCGCTTTCTGCCATGATTGCAAGTTTCCTGAGGCCTCCTAGCCATGCCTTCTGTTAAACCTGCAGAACTGTTGATTAAACCTCTTTGCTTTACAATTACCCAGTCTCAGGAAGTATTCTGTATAGCGGTGTGAAAACAGATTAACACACAAGGTAATAGAGTTTCCTTGTGATTCCCCCTCATTTTTGTGGTAAAGACACTTAAGATGAAATCTACTCTCTTAACAAATTTGAAGAACATAATATTATATAGTTAACTATGGACACTATGCTGTACAGCAGATCTCTAGAACTTACTCGTCTAACAAAACTGGTTCATATCAGAGAGTGCCTTCTGCTTTTTCCTTTTAGTGACATGACCATAACTGGCTGCAAGGATCATGGAATCTCTATTATGAATGGCCCAAGTCCAGATAAATGTACTATTACAATTAAAGAAGAGGAAAATGAGTACTGTGGGTCCAAGATCATTGTCCACTATAGGATAATAGAATGCAATTACGATCTGGGAAGGAAGTCATGCAAAAAAGGAAATAATTTATTAAGCACTAAGTATGGCATGTAATGAACCAGGTTTTTGTTGTTGTTGTTGTTGTTGTTGTTGTTGCTGTTTGAGATAAGGTCTTGCTTTGTCACCCAGACTGGAATTCAGTGGCATAATCACAGCTCACTGCAGCCTCAAATTCCTGGGCTCCAGTGATTCTACTGCCTTAGCCTCCTGAGTAGCTAGCACTACGGGCATGTGCTACCATGCCAGGTTAATTTTTAATTTTTTTTGTAGAGATGGCATCTTGCTTTGATTCCTTGACCTTAAGGAATCCTACTACCTTGGCCTCCCAAAGTGTTGGTATTATAGGTGTAAGCCATGGCATTTAGCCCCAAATGCTTTTTAGTGTAATATATGTTGCACATCAGCCCTTTGAGAGGTAGTATTAGACTCATTTTATGTAAGATATGATTGAAACTCAGAAAGGCCATGTTTCTTACTCAAGATCATATGATAGATGGTAGCACTGGGATTTGAACCCAGGTCTGATTGTACCCACCCGTTGTATTTTCTCTTCTGAGTCATGCTGCCACTCTGTAGGGAGCACCAAGGTTCAAGTCAGGGGAGTTGGCAGTTGAAAGACTGTGCCACTGGGAAGAGGAAGTGGGAGACGAACTTTCATGCACGAAGCCTCATGTTCATGGCAAAATGTGTTCAACTCAAAAAAAAAAAAAGAGATACATTTTATGCAGAGGGTAAGAGAATTTTATGAAGGAATAAGAGGGAGGGAGCAGGCAAAATAGAAAGTTGAACATTTAGTAAATTATTGGTTTATACAACTTTTGAAAATAGATTTATATCAAAAATAGTTTAGCAAGAAATAAAGGTCAGAATTACTCTGAACTTGATGACATGCTGGTTTTGACCAAGAAAGACCTGGTAATGTAGATGTTATA